CCCCAAAACCCCAAAACCCCAAAACCCCATTAGGGAAGACTAATATTGAAAATGAATGAATTTAAGAGGGTTTTTCAAGATTAAGTTTTTGCACTTCGAGTTTTTCAACAACTTTTTGGGAGAGCTTTTTAAAGTTAGTTCTGAGGATGAGGTATAAGGATATGATTCATAAGATGGTAAGGCCAATTGGATATCCAATCCAGAGTCCTCTAAGGCCATATTTTGAGTTAGTGCCAAGATAATATCCTATAGGAACTGCAAACATCCAGTATCAGACAAAGGATATAGGAGTCCCATAATGCTGATACCCCATTGCCTTCATAATCCCAAAGAGCGCAGTGTGGAGACCGTCAGGGAAAGTAATTAAAGAAGTAACTAAAATGCCTGTGACCATTTCTTGTCTAATGCCTTCATTTGTTGTGAAAATAGCTGCAATCTGATGTCTAAACACCATTAAGCAGAGTGTAAAAGTTACAGTAATAACAGTCACTGTTGCAATTATAGCTTTGATGTACATATTAGCTGTTTTTGGCTTTGAAGCTCCCAAGCTGTTTCCAATAAGGCTTGAAGCCACTAAAGATGTCCCAAAAGGAGCCATAAATAAGAATGTTTGCAGATTCATTAGTATAACACTTGCTCCCAATTGAGTGGTTCCCAAGAAGCCTGCTCTGAAATGAATGAATTGAAAAGACCAGACTTCTAGTCCAAGGTTTAAGAATGAAGGAATAGCAAATTTTAAGAATTCAAAATATCCTATAAATGAGTCTTTGTTAACAAAGTGCCAGCACCCTTCTTTTACTATTGATTGATCGAGAGTAATCCAAACGTAAGCAATAAGGAAGTTCAAAGAATGAGTGATCACAGTGGAAAAAGCCACTCCTTCTATTGATAAATTAAATCAGTAGACATTTATGTATAGCCATAAAGGGTGCAGCATTGCAGTCACAAGTTGAATTTTTGTCATGAAAGAATACTGTCCCTGAGCCACTAAGAACTTTCTTAAAGCTTCTGTCTGAACAAACATAAATGTGCCTGGGATCCATGCTCTGACAAATCTACCAGCAACCTTTGAAACTTCTACTTCTTGTCCAAGATAGATCAAAATTGGAGTAAGATACCAAAAGAGGAGTCAAATGGGTATCAAAATTATCGTCAATATCACTTGGGCTCGAGTATAATATCACCCTGCCAAGTAATTATTTTTCCTCCCAAAAGCACGAGATGCTAAAGTCTCAATAGCTCCTGTAAATCCTAAGCCGAGGGCTATCAATGTCATATTAATAGTGCTGTTTCCAAGTCCTGCACCTGATACTAGATTTGGATCTCCAAGTCTTCCAAGGACCATGTAATTAAAGATTTCTGTTGTTCTTCTCAATAGAAGTCCTCCTGCACAGGTGATAGAAGCAATAGTTAATTCTTTCGTTGCTTCGAACAATGAAACATAATCTCTATCTTCGATCTCAGTACTCTCTATTTCAATTTGAGCTAAAGAATAAAGTTAATGCTTGTAAGAAATGTAGATTCAAAGTTAAAGCATGATTGAGAGAAACACTCGAAGAACTCACCCTCTCAAATTCATTTCAGCAAATAATCTTTCATGAACAATAAAACAGAGTAAATAAATTCTCTTTAATTACATAATAATATGATTACTAATTTTTACAATGTAAGATGCAAAATTTTGATTTAAAGTCTCAAAAATCTATAAAGTTTTATCATCACAATCTCTCATAATATCAAAAATAGTGTTTAATGCCCCAAAATACATGCTAAAGAGGAGGCTTACTCTTGTTAACCGGGTGTGGGCTATCTGAATGCATATCATAGCCCTGCTCAGATGCATCATCATTATTCTCTTCAACATCCATTTCTATTTAAAATTTACCTATCCCAATTTCATAAACACATCATGGGGTTTTGGGGTTTTGGGGTTTTGGGGTTTTGGGG